AAATTTAGGCTGCTTATTGAGATATAATTCACCTACCATAAAGTTCACCCTTAAAAGTGTACAAAAGTCTGTAACAAGTGCTGATTTTAAGTTTTTTTAAAAGGTTTTAATACTACAGGGTTAAGTAGGAATTTGAATCGACAGTTAAAGTAATGTCTCTGGGCTTTTCTTACTGGATTTTAGTGTCCTTAAGGGTTTTGTGTTGTGATCAAAGCAAAAATAAAATGCTGTATAAAAATAACAAATTCCAGCAATGATTAATACTCAGATCAGTACCTCTTAATAAAGAGCATCTTCAGCTAATTAGCCCTGCCAAACTATGTATAGAGGAAATTCTTCAAGTATTAGATTTGAAAATAAATGCTTCTGCTTAACAGAACTGATGTATTGAAACAATGTATCATGAAGAGGTAAATCATATTAGGCATCACCATAACTATACAGAAAACATAGACTTGAGTATAATCAAAATGCTAAGAAGTTTCATATGGCCTTGTATGAAAGGAATTTTAATGTTAATAAATGTTTTCCACTTGAAAAAATAAAATGTCCGATTCCATAGCTTTTTATGTATTCCCAGAGTTGTGCAACCATCAGCAAAAATTCCAGAACATTGTCTGCTCTTCAAAAGAAACCTCATACCCAGCAGCCACTCCCCGCACCCCCTCCAGTCAGCTTCTAGAAACCACTAATCAGTCTCTGTGGATTTGCCTCTTCAGCATATTTCATATAAATGAAATCGTACAACATACAGCTAAAGTGTAAGCTTTGGTGAATTCTTACATACGACACATGTGAAAGCATCCCTATAATTAAGATAATGAAAACTTATACTTCTGTTATAGACATTTGAGAACTTTACAGAACCTAAGGGCATTCACTCCAGAAGAAATGGAGACAGAATTCCATGACTCCTTGCATCTAGTTTGCTCCTTGTGTTTTCTAGGGATATTTCACTCAACCTTTGCTGGAATAAAGGTGGTCAGGGACCCTCTTGAATCCTGCACGTATCAGACAAATGATTTGGGCAAACCAAAGATTTTACATCCAACAGAGTTTTACTTCAAGTGCAAAAGCCATGGGTCAATAGTTTTGCCCTTGAAGTAGCTTTTGGAATACTCTAGATGTTATGTTTCTTGGGGTGGGAACTACCAAAGGATAAACTTCGCAACTAGGAAGTGGACGGTGAAGGGGCCATGAGCAATGAACCTATTAATTTGAAGCCCAAAGAAGGGCGGAGTTTCAACAGCTGGATCCAATGGTGCATTTGTGATTTGGGTGGGAGTGGAGAGGAAAGAAAATGACAGTAGAACAAACTTGTCAATTCTTATATTAACTATTGGGAGCCAACGGTATCACTTATGGTTATTTGTGCTGAAATAGAACAAATAAAAGCTTATTGATGAGAACAAAGGTGTCTTCTCCAGAGCCCAGTTGTGCCTGGGCAGTGGGGCCGGTTGTGGGAAGGCCAAAGAAAGTGTGTGGAGACGGCGAAGGAGACTTGAATTTCTTGGGGAAGGAGATCAGAGACATGAGAGACTGCTCCAAAAAGAGATCCGCAGCCACAGGCTGAAAGCTAGCACCTCTGTCCCTAAAGGACTCTGCCAAGGTGTGCTTCCTCCCCCTCATAGCCACCAGCTGGACAAGTGACAGGTATCGTTTCCACAGTGCCCTCCGTTCTGTGCTAGTCCCCACTGAGAGAGGGCTTTTATAGGTGAGGGTGCAGAAGCAGTGACGTCATAGCACTCGCTTGCCAAGTTTGCTGATCCGACCAGCATCCCAAGGACCAGTTGTCCCCGTGAACATGCAAGAAAGTTGCTTTCCACAGCGAGCACTGATGTGCCCTGGTTCCCATGAGCATGAGCGAGAGTCGGTGTCCTTCAGGATAAAGTGCATCTGGACACCCCAGCCCAGGCTCACTGTCACGGTTTGTTGAACCTGGCCAGGTTTTCAGGAACAGAAAGAGGACATTCAGGGATATGGGGTTTTACTGTCCCCCTTTTCTTTAGGGATGATACAAATATAAATATTGAGATCACACACAGAGTTGAATGTTGGGCCAGGAGGGAAGAGAAGAAGGGATCAGAGGCCAGGTTCGTCATCACCACAAGGGACAGAGATGAGCAGGTACTGTCTGTAGTCATGAAAGGTCACAGGGATTGTGAAAAAATATCCTGAAGGCTTCCAGGAGAACACAACATCAGAAAAGTCCAATGCAAATAAACGATTCGAAGGATTCAGACTACTTAGGTAAGGAGTGAACACAGGAGACTTCTAATGTTCTCACCACACATACAAAATGGACAGAATGAAAAAGAAGGAGGGAAGGAGAAAAGGATGATAATGAGGGGTGGATATGTTAATTGGTTTGCATACGATTATTTTCATAATATCTCTGTATATTAAAATATCACATTGTACACCTTGAAAATATACAATTTTGTTAAGTATCTGGCGAAAAAAAAAACTGCTTTTCTTTACAAAGAAAATTTATATGAAATAACAGAAATTAGATCCAGGGAAGGGAAAGGGCAAGCCCTGGGGAGTGACCGATAAATTGTGGGTTTGTGAGAATGTGGCCCGATGGTTCCACCCTGAGGCCCAGTTGTAATGCCCCATTAAAGATTTACTCAATTAGAATATTTTCTAGATAGGATTAAAAAATAAATCTGCTCAACTGTGTGCTACACAGAGAAACAGCAAAGTTAAGTGTATTGTAAATGCTGAAAATAGAAAGATAGGAAATGATACACAGATACAAGAAAATAAAAATAAATCATGGTATCTTTTTCATATCAGAAAGAGTGATGTTCAGGTTCAAAAGCATTAAGTGAGGGGAGAAAGTACTCTTCATAAAATCACAGGGTCTAATTCATAGAAAGGGCATAGTAGTTATGATCATGTGTCAAAATAATAACAGAAATATTCATGAAGCAGCAATTTGGGGAATGAATGAGAATTAGAAACGGGAGTAGTTCAGGCCTTGAATTCACCTGTGTCCATGAGTGACTAAGGAACCAACCACTTAGCCTCCTGGGGCTCTTCCAGGGGCCCTCTGGTCTTTAATGGGAAGAGCATCAGAGTCCAGCAGGTCACAGGATAGGGGCTGAGGGACTCCATAGTGTTAAGATGCCCTTGGGTTCCTGAGGAGAGCAGCCAAAGTCACTACCAATCTCAAGTACATTCCCCAGGAGGTCTCCTGTGTGAAGCTGCCAAGTGTGGACTCTGCTGATGGGAGACTCCGGTGGCTGCCAGCAGGGGGCGCGAGTGACCAGGTTTCCTCCTGTGCAAGGCTAGGGTCACTGCAAAGTGCTGGAACAAAGGTTCTTGGAATTCTACAGAGAGGTGGCTTAGAGTCCCCTCTCTGCTTTCCATCAACTTAGCCTCTCCTGGTCAGAGAAACAAAGAGGTAGACCAGCTCCACTGGCCATCCAGAGAGAAGGAATGTTCTCCCCCATGGATCCAAAAGGTCCGGAGCTAGCAGAGTGCATGGTGCGCACCTGTGATCCCAGCACCTTGGGAGGCTGAGGCAGGAGGATGGCGAGTTCTAAGTGAGCCTGAGCCACTTAGTGTTTTTATTTCTTCTCTGTTTTATAACTGAGCACTTTTTATGTTTTACTTTGAGAGAGGGTCTCACTAAGTTGCCAAGGTTGGCCTCACACTGAGGATCCTCCTGCCTCAGCCTGGTAGCTGCTGAAATCAGACACGAGCCACCTTGCCCAGCCCCGGTCATTCTTTGTCACCACCCCGTGGCTCCCCTTACGTGGTGCATCTTTTCTAACCCCATTAATGGACTGCGGGGTCACCAGTTTCTAAAGTGGGCAGGAGTAGTGGAGGTGGTTAGGAAGGTCGATGCCACTGGCCCTGGAGAGGGGAGCTGCCCAGGGCACCCGTGTGGGTGAAGCTGCCTTGTGTCCCTTTCAGCGTGTGAAAAAGAGAAAGTAAAAGAAAGGGAGACCGAAGCAGCCCTCACAGGATCGGATCTATGAGGCTTTCCTTATTAAGCAGCAGAGTGTCACATTTCCCAGAAAGATAATGGCCATTGGTCAGAGTCAGGGTCTGAGTTTTACAGGGTTCAGGGGATTCTGCTTGAACCATAGCAGAACATGGTGGTGGTGGTGCGGAGGGCGATCAGGGGCAACAGCTGTGAAAATAATACCGCCAGTCACGGGTGAGGATGAGCTCCATTTCCCCAGAAAGTGAGGTGGAGGCAAGAGTAGAGAGCAAGTTTTATTTCAAGCATAGGAACCCACGGGGCTGGGGATGTGGCTCAAGTGCGGGGTGCTGGGTTCAATCCTCAGCCCCACATAAAATGAAGTTGTTGTGTATGCCCAAAACTAAAAAAAAAAAAAAAAAAAAAAAAAAAAAAAAAAAAAAAAATTTAAAAATTCTCTCTCTAAAAAAAAATAAAATAAATAAAAATTTTAAAAAAAGAATAGGAACCCACACTTCTCCCCAGAGAAGGGGACCCAGAGCTGGTGTCCAGGAAGTGGGAGCTTCCTGCCCCTTTCACACCTCTTAGATTTCCTTTGTTCTCCTGCCCTCTTCTCCCCTTAGCTCTCCCGCTAGTGCATTAAGTGACCAGAGGCCAGTAGCTGGGCCAAATAGTGGGGAGCAGACGGTGGAGTGATCTGGCAGTGAAGTAAAGCCAGGAGGTGTTAATGAACAAGGTGACGACTCCCCTGCAGGGAGGAACAGGTTGGAGCAGGAGCAGGGGGGAGGGTTTGGGAAAAAGCAGGGCTTGATCTTCTTGCCCATCGCCCCACCTAGCTGATGGGACCCAATCATTGATTATCTATCTCAACTGTCTTTTTGTCCCCTAGCTTCAAAAGCTCAGCGCCCATTGTTTTCCTTCTGTCCCTGGGACCGTGATTCTCCTTTTCCCTCTGGGGGTTGTTTTTCGGGATCTTTCCATTTGGATCACAGACCTGTGCAGGGAGCTGTGAATGTTGGTCCACCCTGAATATCAAGAGATTAGCTACCTACATCTCTTCAGTCCATCAAGCTAATGGCAAGAGATATCTGTCCAGGCTTCTGGGATCCTCCTCCCCAGATATGTGGTACATTTTGATGAATTGGTCCATGTCCAGGGTCGTGTTGGCCCAAGGACTATCGGAAACCCTCAGACATATATCCTTTAAGTCAGGAGGCAGACAGTCCCTCTCTGAATCCAACACAGGCTGCCCAAGCCCAGAAGACCTGGGTACATCATCGTCCTGGTGATGGGTAGTGGCAGAATTCCATGGGACACGGTTCTCTGCGGTGACAGGTGAGGGGGACACCACCTCATTCTCTTCAGTATTCTGGGTAGAGGGTCCTGGCAACACCCCTGGCTCCATTTCTTGCTGCTGCTTTTTCCACTTTACTCGTTGGTTTTTAAACCACGTCTGAGAGCAGAGAGGAAAGGGTGAAAAAAGATCTGAGTCAGCCATAAAGAAGAATGAAATCGTGGCACATGCTGGTCAATGGATGGCAGGCACTGGAGTCGATCGTGCTAAGTGAAATAAGCCAATCCCCCCAAACAAATGGCCGAATGTTCTCTGATGTGTGGGTGGTGACTCACAACAGGCCCAAGACAGAGGTAGTGGAGGTTGGCTGGACTGGACAGGGTGGAGTGGGGGAAAGGAGGAGGGATTGGAGTGGGACAGACAGTGGAATGAGTTGGCCATGGCTTTCCTGGGTTCATATGTGAATACGCGACCAGTGCAACCCCACAAGAATGGGAAGTTAGACTCCATGTAGGTGGGACATGTCCAAATACATTCTACTGTCCTGGATAACTAAAAAGAATGAGTTTTTAAAAAGAAAGAAAATGTAGTTGAGCGCAAAGGGGCGCCCTCATGTTCCTCAGTGAGATTTTTGCCCACGTTGCCTCTGTTGCTGGTTATCTGAAAAGGGAAGTTCTTTCTACCTGTCCTCTGTCCTGTGGCCCGGAGGGTGCCGAGGGGTTACACTAGCAATGGGTAGAAGAGGGCCCAGTGTCTCGTTTCACAGCTAGAATACTCAGGGTCACTCCAGGTGAACTGGGCTGCACGAAATCATCACACAGAGACAGAGATACCTTTTCCTTTGGGTCCTGGGATGGCTCTTCTGAACTTAGAGGTGGGTAGAAAGAGAGATGAACCCTTTTATAGGGGAGAAGCCATTCAAATGAGGCAAGGGGTCAGGTTTCAGGGGTTGAGTCTAGCTTAGTGATGTCCACTGTCAGCAGGTTGACTGACATCTAGGAAGGCCACACCCAAAGTCAGAGCAGGAGAAGGGGACACACAGAGGGCATTTCCATGGAACATTCTATCCCAAACAGGGCAAAGGGGTAGGATTACAAAAGAATAGGTGAGTGTCGCTCAACCCCAGGGGTATGGCTACTCAGAAGGCTGGCCTTGCTATCCGAGTGGGAAAAGACCGAGTCACTACCACGCCAGACTACAGGGACCTTAGATCTCCTAGCGCATCAGGGCTGGAGGGCGTGGTAACTCAGTGTGGCTCCCCTCAGCCCAGCACTCACCCCTAGGGGAGGAGGCCTTAAGTAAAGGGGGGTCCTGTTAGTGATGGCTCCGGTTTTATTTCTCAGAGGAAGCCTTTTGAAGTCCAAGAGTGTGGGGTGGGGTGGAGCTCAGGATGCCCTCATGGGGGAGTCCTGCCCTCAACACTCTGGAGGGACTCAGTGGCAAGGCAGTTAGTTGCACGGCACGGTTATGAACGACCGACTCAGCAGAGCTAGAAATCTGTAAGCTGTCACTTGGGTACAGATTTGAGTGCCAGAAGCTTAGTTCCCGGTGTCATGGCATTGAGAGGTGTACACCCCTCTATGAGGGGGGCCTGATGGGAGGTAATTAGGTCACAGGGCAGGGCCCTCGGAAGAGATGAAGGCCCTTTCTCAGGAAGGGGGTCAGGACTTCCAGCACTGGATTATAGTGGCACCCTCTTCTCCACACACAAAAAAGAAAATCTTAACTGGGTTTCTCCAGACATCCCCACCATGGCTGATTTTAGGACTGTCAGCAAAAGAGTCTCTGCAAAAGAGTTCAGTGTAGACAAACTTCCTATTTTCGTGTCACCCTGTTTTACTTGGCCACTGGCCAGGAAGATACCAGATACAGAAAGGGCCTTCATCTCTTCTGAGGGCCATGCCTGGTGACCTAAGACACTCCAGGTGCTGGACACCCTGTTACTAGTTTTTCACAAACATGTATCCAGTAGAGTAGTTTGTAGAAATGTGCAGACAAGGCCTCTGGCCTTGGGCTGGGCTTCACAGAAATGTCTACATTCCTTAGAGGAGAGAAGTTACCACCTGGGCTCCATGGTAACCGCTGGCAGGGGGAGGAAGGAGAGGGGAGGAGAAGCTCCCCCTTCTCAGGTGCTGTCCTTGAAGGGTTAACTTCCCCAGAACAGTGAGAGAAAAAGCTGCTTTTATGTGAACTTCTGCAGACTGGGAACTTCTGAGCCCCTCCCCTTACATGCTGGGTGTAAAACTCTGAAACTCCCTGAACTCGGGGTTCAGGGGATTGATTGATGACAGCAAAAGCTGTGCCCCCTGAACCTGGCTGCAGCCAAATAAAACTGTGTCCTGCTGTCTTCGGTGCCCTGCCTCGTCTGTCCCTACAACAAGATGACCCTCAGGAACCGGCTGTTGAAAAGTAGGGTCACCTGTTTACCTTCTCACTTGTCTCATCTACACTTTGACCACAAGGGATGAGTGCCATCTGCCACACAGTGAGGTAGCACAAGGCCCTCACAAGACATGGCCACCCATGCCTGGGCTTGACAGTATCCAAAACCATGAACCAAGATGAACCTCTTTTCTTTCTAAATCACCTGAAATCAGGTATTTTGTTTTAGCAACACACAATGGGCTAAGACAACACGGGGACAAACCCATTTAAATGGTAGTATCTGAGATCCAGCCCGAGAGGGGCCTATGTAGCATTGTGGGCCTGGAATCAGAAAGGCCTGGGTCCCAATCAGGCTGTTGTGCTACTAATCCTTGGATGGAAATTCTTTTTTTTTTTTTAATATTTATTTTTTAGTTGTAGTTGGTGCAATACCTTTATTTCACTTATTTATTTTTTTATGTGGTGCGAGGATCGAACCCAGGGTCTTGCATGTGTGAGGCAAGCGCTCTACCGCTGAGCCACAACCCCAGCCCCTGGAAGGCAATTCTTCTGGGTGAGCTGTGGTGTTCTTGAGACTAAACTATAACATGTTTCACCTCTGTGCTTGCACAAGTCAGTGGTCAATACTCCTATAGCTCAAGAATTAAAACCAAGAATCAATACCTGGGATGGTATTAGCACCAAAACAGACTGGTAGACCAATGGTACAGAAGAGAGGACACAGAGACTAACCCACAAAATTACAAATAGAGGAGTTTCTATCATGGTGGTTGAGGGTGTGAAGGGAGCCCTGGGTCAGGTGTGCTACCTAGAGACAGACACACTCAGGGACAAACCTTGACTACAGCCTCATCAAGATTGAGGGTGGAAGCCAGTTCTGCTACGGTTTCGAAGCTGGGTATCTTGGTCTTCTGGAAAACACTTTTCAGTACTTCCAGTTGCTCTGCTGTGAAGGTCGTGCGGTGCCGGCGAACATGCTGGAAGCTCCCTGCCAGAGAACATCAAAAGGCTTCCATTGAAAACCATCCTCATGTGATCTTCTTGCCTCAAGCTGCCCTGAGGATCTGGAGCTTGGTCTCAAACCTTAACTCACGGAACCACCCCCTCCTTACCATCTTGCTGGAACTCTTCTGCACCCCCAGGAAACCAGTACCAACGTCTTCTGAGCAGGGTGTATTTTCAAGCCACAAGTGGCTTTTTAAAAAAATCATTTTCCTAAGTTGCATGGCCTGGTGACACATCCTTGTAGTCCCAGCTACTAGGGGAGGCTGAGGCTAGAGGATTGCTTGAGTCCAGGGGTTGGAGGCCAGCCTGGGAAACAGTGAGACCATCTCAAAATCAAAGGCATTTCTGTACATCAATGACAAATCCTCTGAGATGGAAATTAGGAAAACTACCCCATTTACAATAGCCTCAAAAAAAAAAAATACTTGGGAATCAACTTAATGAAAGAGGTGAAGGATCTACACAATGAAAACTACAGAACCCTAAAGAAAGAAATCAAAGAAGACCTTGGAAGATGGAAAGATTGACCTTGCTCTTGGATAGGCAGAATTAATATTATCTATTAATATTATTCTACCAAAAGCAGTATACAGATTTAGTGCAATTCTGATCAAAATCCCAATGGCATTCCTCATAGAAATAGAAAAAGCAATCATGAAATTCATCTGGAAAAATAAGACACGAAGAATAGCTAAAACCGTCCTTAGCAGGAAGAGTGAAGCAGGTGGCATCACTATACCAGATCTTAAACTATACTACAGAGCAGTAGTAACAAAACAGCATGGTATTGGCACCAAAATAGACTGGTAGACCAATGGTACAGAATAGAGGACACAGAGACTAACCACAAAATTACAATTATCTTATATTAGACAAAGGCGCCAAAAACATGCATTGGAGAAAAGATAGCCTCTTCAACAAATGGTGCTGGGAAAACTGGAAATCCATATACAATAAAATGAAATTAAACCCCTATGTGCACAAAACTGAACTCAAAATGGATCAAGGACTTAGGAATACAACCAGAGACCCTGCATCCAATAGAAGAAAAAGTAGGCCCTAATCTCCATCATATGGGATTAGGCCCCGACTTCCTTAATAAGACTCCTACAGTGCAAGAATTAAAACCAAGAATCAATACATGGGACGGAATCAAACTAAAAAGTTTCTTCTCAGCAAAAGAAACAATCTGTGAGGTGAGTAGAGAGCCTGCATCTTGGGAGCAATCTTTACCCCTCAAACATCAGATAGAGCACTAATCTCTAGGGTATATAAAGAACTCAAAAAACTAAACACCAAAAAAATAAATAACCCAATCAATAAATGGGCCAAGGACATGAACAGACACTTCTCAGAAGAGGATATTCAACCAATCAACAAATATATGGAAAAAAAAGGTTCATCATCTCTAGTAATTAGAGAAATGCAAATCAAAACTACTCTAAGATACCATCTCACTCTAGTCAGCATGGCAGCTATTATAAAGACAAACAACAATAAGTGTTGGTGAGGATGTGGGAAAAAAGGCACACTCATACATTGCTGGTGGGACTGCAAATTGGTGCAGCCATTATAGGAATGGAACCACCATTTGACCCAGCTATCCCTCTCCTCAGTCTATACACAAAGGACTTAAAATCAGCATACTACAGGACACAGCCCCATCAATGTTCATAGCAGCACAATTCACAATAGCTAAACTGTGGAACCAACCTAGATGCCCTTCAGTAAATGAATGGATTTTTTAAAATGTGGCATTTATACACAATGGAATATTACTCAGCAATAAAAGAGAATAAAATCATGGCATTTGCAGGTAAATGGATGCAGTTGGAGAAGATAATGCTAAGTGAAGTTAGCCAATCCCCTGCCCCCCCAAAAAATGGTGAATGTTTTCTCTGATATAAGGTGACTGACTCATAGTTGGGTAGAGAGAGGGAGCACGGGAGGAATAGATGAATTCTAGATAGAAATAAAACCAATTAAAAAACGTTTTTTAAAAAAAACTTGTATCAGAAGAGCTAGATACCTCTTTTTGTATGTGAGCATGGTAATACACAAATTTTCTCCAATGAAAGTCATTTTAAAGTTTTTCGGAGAAAAGTAAAATATTTATCTCTCCAGACAAGAAATACAGTTCTAAATTCAGTTTTACAAATACAGTCATAAAAGAATACTAATAAATATGACAGCATCAACATTTAAAATATAACTCATAAGTAAATTTAAAAACATAAGCCACAGAGTTCAACAAATGTAAAAGAAAAATTTTTAGTGTCTAGAAGACATCAAAAACATTCTACTTGCAGCCAATTTGGAAAGCAGTATGGAGATTCCTTGTAAAGCTGGGAATAGAACCACCATTTGACCCAGCTATCCCTCTCCTCGGTGTATACACAAAGGATTTAAAAACAGCATACTACAGGGACACAGCCACATCAATGTTTTTTTTTATTATTATTATTTTTATTTTTTGGCGGACACAACATCTTTATTTGTATGTGGTGCTAAGGATTGAACCCGGGCCGCACGTATGCCAGGCGAGTGCACTACCGCTTGAGCCACATCCCCAGCCCCACATCAATGTTTATAGCAGCACAATTCACAATAGCTAGACTGAGGAGCCAACCTAGATGCCCTTCAATGGATGAATGGATAAAAAAAATGTGGCATATATACGCAATAGAATATTACTCAGCACTAAAAAATAACAAGATCATGGCATTTGCAGGGAAATGGATGGCATTAGAGCAGATTATGCTAAGTGAAGTTAGCCAATCCCTAAAAAACAAAGGCCGAATGTCTTCTCTGATATAAAGAGAGTGACTCAAAATGGGGTAGGGAGGAAGAGCATGAGAAGAAGATTATCCCTAAATAGGAAAGAGGTGGGAGGGAAAGGGAGGGAGAATGGGAATTGCACGGAAGATGGAAGGAGATCCTCATCGTTATACAGAATACATGTATGATGATGTGAGGAAAAAAGAAAAAGAAGTGGGTCACATTAGATTGGGTAGAGAGAAGTGATGGGAGGGGAGGGGAGGGGAAGGGGGGAATGAAGAACAGCAGAATAACATAGACTTTATTATTGCTGTGGGTAGATATGTGACTGCATGACCAATGTGACTCTGCAACCTGTACACTCAGAAAAATGAGAAATTATACCCCATCTGATTCAAATGCATGATATGTCAAGATCATTGTACTGTCATGTGTAACTAATTAAAACAAAACAAAACCAACATTCTACTGAGGCTGGGGTTGTAGCTCAGTGGTAGAGCTCTTGCCTAGCACATGTGAAGCAGTGGGTTGGATCCTCAGCACCACATAAAACTGAAATACTGGTATTGTGTCCATCTACAACTAAAAAGATTTTTTAAAAAAGCATTCTATTGGGGGCTGGGGATATAGCTCAGTTGGTAGAGTGCTTGCCTCCCATGCACAAGGCCCTGGGTTCAATCCCCAGCACCACAAAAACAAAAACATTCTACTAATGCTCTGGGGAAGGGGAAACAACTTTTAAAATGATAGCCTTTAAAATAGAGTGAATGAAAAATCAAATAAGAGGCTCAAATGCTTTGGTTAAGAAAGAAATGGAACTGTTCAGAGACGCCTGCCTGACATCCCAGTGGCTCTAGAGGCTGAGGCAGGAGGATTGCAGGTTTGAAGATAGCCTCGGCAACTAAGCAAGGCCCTAGGCAAGTCTCAAAATTAGACACACTAGAGATGTGTCTCAGTGGTGAAGCGCCCCTAGGGGCAACCATGGGTACTGCTACTACCTCCCACAGAAAACATAAGGAAAGGCTTTGGTGTTAGTCCGGGGCACAAAGATTAGCAGTCAAAAGGTCCTGAACTCAGTCCCTATCACAGAAAAATATATAAATAATTTTAAAAAGGAAATTAGATCACGTACCATTTTATACCCATTTTATAGAGATTTCAATGCATGACAGAGGGCTGAGGAGTAGCTCAGAGGTAGAGCTACTGGTGGTTCTGGGTTCATCCCCAGCACCACAAAAGAAAGAAGAACTCTATGCATGACGGGATCAGATATTACACTGCTATTTAACACTCCAGGGGCGCTTGGCCCTTTTTTATTTTTCGTTTTGAGAAAGGATCTCACTAAATTGTCTAGGGCCTTGCTAAATTGCTGAAGCTGGCCTCCAACTTGCAATCTGCCTGCCTCAGCCTCCCGAGTTGCTGGGATTATTACGCTTGGTACCATATACACAAATATACGTGGTACCTACTATATAGATAAATAGATAGATACATAGTACCAGGGATTGAACTCAACCACTGAGCTCCATCCCCAGCCCTTTTCTGTATTGTCTTTAGAGACAGGGTCTCACCGAGTTGCTTAAGCATCTCGCTTGGGCCGAGTCTGGCTTTGGATTCGTTCATAATCCTCCTAACTCTGTCCCTGCACCGGCTGGTATTACGCATGCGCCACCGTGCCCAGGTACAATGCGCTGACTCTCACAACTGTCTACCTGGTTTTGCCAAAACCAAGCGCCATCATGAAGCCCCACACCTCTCATCTTGGTTTATCCATAACCAACGGCAACTTCACCCCCCTCTTACCTGCCATCGCAGCCTCTGGAAGGGTGGTCGATGTCTCCTCTGCGCACCTTAGACCTCCTAAATTGGTGTGTCTGCTCTACTTGAGAATCTACTTATAAATTTGCATCCAATCAGACCCCTACCCTAACCCTCCCTAATCCCAAACCCTCCAATGATCATTCTAGGATTTTGCTCTTGGCATGGGGCCTGGGCAGAGTGATTGACGACTGATTCCTGACCTCAAGGATTGGAGGAAAACTCATCAAAGCTGTGCAAACAGAAAAGAGAGGAAAATGCCCCCAAATTTCACTCGGGACAAAATGAAAACAAAGGAGTAAATAAATAAGGTGGGGCTGGGGTGGCGCCTCAGTGGTGGAGCGCTCGCCTAGCATGTGTGAGGCCCTGGGTTCGATTCTCAGCACCGCATATAAGTAAAAGAATAGAATAAAGGTCCATCGATGTCATATATATATATAAACAAGGTGCCGAGGAAAAGAGTACGTTGGCAAGAACGCTGGGACTTGGAAGGTGTCGGAGGGGCTCCGTGCCTGCGCAGCTCTGGGCGAGATCTGGAGCCCCACCGCACAGCAGCTGGGATGCGGGGTCAGGTCCCCAGCCCTGAGCCTTCCCCGGGAGGCAGCGACAGAGGAAGACCTTTCAAGGCCTAATCATAGAGGACCTTCAAGTCTCAGTTAAGAGTTTGCACTGGGGGCAGTTGGAGCCCAGGAAGTGTTTCAATAAGCAGGGGAGCTGAGCCTGCGCATCGCATTTGCGTCTGAAATCGCGCTTCTCGCTGGCCACAGAGCCTCTGAAAGCGGACCTCCACTGGGCTCTGCCAGATTCTGACTTACACCACAGAGAGGAATTTCAGGACCCGTGGGAAGAGGTACAAGCAGAGGCTTATTAAGGAAAGCAAGGAGTTTTATTCAGGAAAACAAACTGTAGAGCAGGTGCAAACTCCAGGGGAAAGGATGTGCAGGTGCTAGAGACCAAGAACTGCTTTTGGAGTCTCAGCCTTTTTTTTAATTTATTTTTTTATTTGTATTTTTTATGATACTGGGGGTGGAACCCAATTTTCCACGGAGCTACATATACCCCGGTTATTTTTAGTTTTTCTTTGAATCAGGGTCTTGCTAAATAGCTGAGGCTGGCCTTCCTTGTGATCCTCTTGCCTCAACCTGTTGAGTTCCTAAGATGACAGGTCTGGGCCACCACACCAATCTTCAGGCTTGCTTTATTTATTTATTTGTTGTAGATGGACAAAATGCCTTTTTTATTTATTTTTTTTAGATTTTTTTTTTTTTTAGTTGTAGTTGGACACAATACCTTTATTTTATTTATTTATTTTATGTGGTGCTGAGGATCAAACCCAGTGCCTCACATATACTAGGCAAGTGCTCTGCCACTGAGCTACAACCCCAGCCCTGCAGGCTTCTTTTAAAAGAAACTTTGTAGTGGGTTGCCATGACTCATGCCTCCAAGGCCAGCAATTTAGGAGGCTGAGGAAGGAGGAAGTCATGTTTAAATCCAGCCTTGGCAACTTCATGAGGCCCTAGGCAAACTAGCAAGACCCTACCTGAAACAATTAAAGGGCTGGTGTGTAGCTCAGTGATAAAGTGCCCCTGGGTGTTCAATCCTCAGTACCAAAAGAAATCAAATAGAATTTAAATCAATAAAAATAAACCCTTATACAATAATAGCAGAGTTGGAAGAGAAAGTTAAGGAAATGTTCTAAAAGGTAGAAGAAAATAAACAGTTAAAAAAAGAGTTAAAAGACAGGAAAATCAAATCAAATCAAAGATGGTGGCTGGTCTGGGGTATAGCTCAGTGGCAGGACACCTGCCTAGAATGGGTAAGGCCCTGAGTTTGATCCCAGCACCACAAGAAAGGTAGAAATACTAGCTTTACCACTGAGCCACATCCCCAGGCCTTTTTTACATTTTATTTATTTATTTACTTATTTTTAAAGAGAGAGAGAATTTTTTAATATTTATTTTTTAGTCTTCGGCGGACACAACATCTTTGTTTGTATGTGGTGCTGAGGATCGAACCTGGGCCGCACGCATGCCAGGCGAGCGTGCTACCGCTTGAGCCACATCCCCAGCCCTTTATATTTTATTTAAAGACAGGGTCTCACTCAGTTGCTTAGGACCTCACTAAATTGGCTGAGGTTGTCCTTGAACTTGCTGTCCTCCTGCCTTACCCTCCCAATCTCTTGAGATTACAGGTGTGGGCCACCACACTTTGCAAACTCCTTTCTTCTTGTTATCTGTTGAGTTGGTCACTGTGGCCTTTTTTTTTTTTTTTTTTTTTTTTT